AGCAGGATGCAGGATGCAGAGGGAGAGGGAAGATTCACGGCTCTCTGCAGTGTCTTTTAGATATCCGGTCGGTGTTCCGCATAGCAACAGAGATCTCCCATCAGGCAGAAAGAAGGTTGCAAACACGCAACATTATTTATTTCCAGAACAAAAGGACAGCAACTTCACAGGAGAACGGGAATGGCAGGAGCTAATGCCCCTCTCTGTGCTGGTGTGGTGAGAGTCCACAGCTGTCCCCTCTTCTGTTCTGCAGCTGCAGGATTTTTAATCCATGATTCATTTCAGGAACATTGAGGAGTGGGAAGCAAAGGACGAGGCCTGAGGAATGCAGCAGTCCTCCTGGTAGCAGGAGCAGGTACAAACAGTTGGTAGAAGATAAACTTGCCCCAAATCAAGGACTCCTGGGGAGGGCAAAAGCCTCCGGCACGAGGGCCACAGATCATGGGGACATGTGTGATTATAGTTTCCCGAGGTCCCCTTCAAGGGTCCGCACCATTACATACAGCTCAGCCAAGCCGACAACTGAGGCCACAATTACTGCTGACAGGACACGCTGGGGAGACAAAAAGAAAGATAAGTGACCCTGTGTGTGTGTGGTCGAGCTGCCGCTCCTGCCTGGCTGGCACAGAGCATGCCGCAAGCATGGTCCGAGGCCACGGGCTCACTCACCGCCGCGGTCTCTGCAAAGACGTACTGGCTGCCCAGGTATGTGCAGGCGAAAGCGGCCACCACGGTGACAATGAAGTTGAATATGGTGATGACAACAGCTTTAACAGAGCGAACTGCAGAGAAGGGGGAAAGACGATTGCTTTAGGTAAGGCTTGGAGGGTGGCTGGGGACAAGCTGTGATCCTTGCTAACACAGCCTGCCTGTGGCTGCCTCAGCTGGGCTACAGTAATACTTGAGGATTCACATGCTTTATGCCTCCAGAAATATTTATAGGAATGACCAACAGGCTGCTCCTTTCCTCAAGGAACACTTTTATGCATTAAAACCTTCCGGTGAGATATTTGGAGAGGGAAGGGCTGTCTGATGTCAACAGCTAGCGATGCAACGGTTCCCGTGACTGACCTGTAGGTACACACACTGCCAGGCGTCAGGACAGGCAGCCACTCACCTTGCCTCCCAAATTCAGCCAATGTCCCATTCATCTGCTAAAAGAAGGGATTAAAACAACTTGCGATCGGTTGTATTTTAATGTTAACTGCATAATAAAAGCAACACCAATGTCCTGTGCTCTCCCTACGACTCAGAAATGCAGAGAGCTGCCGGGGGGCCCTGGCAGTGGTCGGGCAGGCTGCGGGGGAGCAGCAGCTCCCAGGTCTCTCTGGGTTTGTGTTTGTGGTCTGATTCAAGGACCTTGAAAAGGGATCATCTCTAATGAAAACGCTTCTTGGTGTGTGAGTGTTTTCTTGCATGTGGGTTCTCTGCTGCAGGTTAGTCTTTAATAGAGACCCTAAAGGGTCTTACCTTGTCACCCATGTTCACACAACTGGCAAGAACTAAATGTTGTAAAGCTCTGCACGCTCTTTGTCAAAAGGGACATGGTTACACAATTTAAAACACCAGATACTGGGGGGAAGGCAGGGAAGAACGTGATGAGCACACAGATATGGGAATACTCCTCTGCTTCTCTGTTGTTTGAAAGGAACACTGCTGCCACTACTACCCAGCTCTGCTAAAACCACTCTGGTCCATAGATGAAGCGGCTAAGTTTGACAGAGAGCAAAGCAGATCTTCCCACAAGAGTTAATGCAACAGGAGGATACATGCAGGGACTTAAATGCATAGGGACACGAGTGTGGAAGGGGGATGGCAGGACGGGATCATGAGGAGTGCCAGCAGGAAGGGACATTGGCTTGTCCGAACTGTCACCATGCAAAAAGATATCACCTCTTCCTCGGGAAGAACAAATGCCCAAATATTACCCTGTTTTTCAGCTTTTACCTCAACATGAATGATGTCATTTTAAAACTATGATGAAAATGTAACTGTTCAGAAGGCGGCAGCACAGACACTCCCAGTAAAACATTTACCATAGGTGCTCTGTCTCCCAGATCAAAACTTGAGATCTTTGGTACAGTGAGCTGTTCCCAAATGTCAGCATCCTATTTCACCATCCTGGTTACCGTGTCCCACCTCTGCCCTCAACACCATATTTGTTATCACCACGAATTTACAGCGCGCACTCCTCAAGTCCCTGCCCACATTCCCTCTGTAGCACACTCACTCTATGGGGCAAATTTCCTTTGCTATCTGTCAGCTTGCTAACTGCCACGCTTTTGAGGAATGCATCCTGACAGCAAGCAATGCATAGGCCCCTCACCTGGCCGGTGATGTTGCGGGTCATACGCCGGTACTCCTCATTGGCCAGTTTGGCCTTTATCCGCTCCAGCCGGGCCACCAGCTCGGGGTTCTGGGGAAAGGGCAGAGCCATTATGAGGACCAGCGGCCGCTGCTGTCTCCCGCGGCCCGTACCCGGCCCTCACCTACCCGCGGCGGTAACGGGCCCTTCGG